ATTGTGCTTTAGATAAAGCATACATTTAATACTGTATGGGTAGCATTCAGTAATAAAGCTTTTTCCGTCTTTTTTTATCTCTTATTCTTGCCACATGACTTAGCTGAATTCTTCCTGGCGTAGGGTCTTTTAAAGCAAAAAACCCATAAAAATAAATGTAAGATGTGTATTTCGATGCATTTTTGAGGTTTACGATATGGTAGATGCGAAAGCTCGACAGGATTGTATCAAAGAAATTGACCTACTTAAGCAGCTAAATCACGTGAATGTAATCCGCTACTATGCTTCATTTATCGAGAACAATCAGCTGAATATCGTTCTTGAACTGGCAGATGCCGGTGATCTAAGCCGCATGATACGGGTTTGCCTCAAACATTTTTTTCTATTTTTGCGGGAAAACAGAGACCCACAGATTGACTTCTCGAAAAATGTAGCTAGTTTTCGGTAACTTGCGACTTTGGAAATCAATAAACTCTTTAGATAAGACTTTTTGTGTGTTTTTCTAATTGAGGTTGAGGACTGTGTTATTAATTTATTGACAAAATTTTGGCTAACAGATAAGTATGTTGAAATTTTTGTAGCATTTCAAAAAAAGCCGACGTTTAATTCCGGAACGTATCATTTGGAAATATTTTGTACAGATCGTACGTGCTTTGGAACACATGCATTCTAAGCGAATTATGCATCGAGGTATCGTTTTCCGGATATTTTATTTTGAACATTTGGTCTAATTTTTAGTCTGGTTCTTCAGCTATGCCCACTTGTTTTGATAAATGCTGCATCGCTTAGTATTGACTCGCTCGTGACCCTATTTTCCGTTTCGTCTCCTGAAGGGATTACAGATCAACGGTTTTTCAGACAGAAGCAATTGCTACAGCTCCAGCGTTTCTGGCTTTCGTTGGCATAATTTAAGCATGACTGTGTTTTCCAGAACATTTCGTCAATTACTAAATCTCGGCTCGGCCGCGACTGTGCGAAGAAGCTCCAGCTTTTCTGCTAACTTTATTTCGCGGCATCGCTTGCTGGCTTTGCTTCGTACTTTGTCAACAGCACTGGATAGCGTGGTTGGAGAGGAGGAAGGGAGGTGGGCAGGGGGTTAGACGTGGCTAGGGGTGGCGGTTGATTTGTGCCCAGATGCAATTCGGGGGCATGAATTACGTACAGGATAGAAAAGAGAAACAAGGAGTTAGAGGCGAGAAATGATGTCGGCAGTAAAGAGAAAGAGACAACACGGCACTACAAAGAAAAGTAAATTAAAACAACTGGCCGAAAAAAATTTCGCAAGCCGTGTATTGTGCCAACCAGGTCGAATTTTAGCAATTGGCGACATTTTTGTTCCTCAGCGATTACTAAACCTCGGCTCACCTCAGCTGTTATTGCATGACGCCCTACCTTCTTTGCTAACGTTATTTCGCCGCATCATTTGTTAATCCAGTTTCTCAAATGTATGAACTATTTTTCAGATATCAAGCCAGCAAATGTGTTCATCACAGCGGATGGCATAGTGAAACTTGGCGATCTTGGTCTTGGTCGATTTTTCAGCTCCAAAACAACTGCTGCTCATTCGTTGGTTGGCACACCGTACTATATGAGTCCCGAGCGAATTCAGGAGAGCGGCTATAATTTTAAATCAGACCTCTGGAGTATTGGATGTTTGCTATACGAGGTATTTTATTCTCCAATATGTTCGTTTAACCCGCCCGAGCCATTTGTAAATATAAGTTTTTACCAAAATTTTTATGTGGAATAGCTGTAACCGCCCTGTAATTGCTGTGCTCCTTCTCACCTTCAATATAACCGCAGCTGCTCGATTCCAGTTTCCGAGTTTTTCTTGTCTTCAAAAGCTAGAAGACTGGAATTTTAAGGGGATGTTCCTTGTTCACGTGAATATTAATGAGCTCAAACCCAGCCTCAGGCTATGCGTGATTCTTACGTACGGGTAGAATTTTTCATGGATTTCGAGCAAAAGTTCAGTTTCAACAGTGAGGCAACTATTCTGTAGGCATTCTTTAATTTGTTTCGACGGTAAACGAATACTGGCACATGTCAGCAATTTAAATTTAAATATTTTATGGTTATGAAAAAAGGTTGTAAAAATTAAAGGATAAAAGTAAAAATTGAAAATGAAATAAGTGAAAATTGAATTGGATTGTTTCGGTCCATTAAGTCGCATACGTTCCTATTCAGTGCTGCGACTGGACCTCGTCAGTGTGTTGGTTGCAGCAGAAGTATTGTAAAACAGAAAGCCAGCTTGCAACAGAAAGCCAGAAAAGGGAGCTATTGAACAGTCGTGACAAGGAAAAAATCATTTTTTTTTAGACAAAGCAAAAGCTTACCAACGTTGATTTTTTCTGGTCGTTGAAGCGAGCGAGTTTATGGAAATCCTTGACCATCACCACCACAAAATAGCGCCAAAACTTACAAAATCGAACAATAGCATCGACGCCCAGAGGAATACAGTCGAGATATAGTCAAAAGATAGCGTCCAGTGGAGTACTTCGACGAGTAACGTCGAGAAGTAGCGTGGAAGGGTAGCGTCGAAGCGTTGGTTTGGAACGCAGCGTTGAAGGGTAACGTCAGAAAAGGGGGTCAGCGCCGAAAATGTGCAAAATTTCACAGAAGATATATTTCAGTAAGT